TGAAGCCAGGTGGGAGAGCCAGACCTCAAGAGCACTGCTGCAATCTCCCAAACACTTGTTACCATGACATACCAGGCAAGACAAAAGAGAGTGCTAGCAAATTCCTTAATTGATGCATGATTGCTGATATCACATAAACCAGGAGCCCTCCAGCTTCAGCATGTTTGCTGATGACTATGTACTCACCCAGCTCCTGCTTAGTCTTGGCTGTTCTCCCACATACTCCACCCATAGCTGACAAGTTTTGTGCAGCTTTATAACCCCATTAATGCATGAGTCAGGGTGCTGCTTATTAAAAAAAAGGTGTGTGTGGTCATACAGACAATTATAGGTATAAGAGAGTGGTAAGGTGGTGCTGAGAACAAGACAGGAATAATTATAAAGCTATTGGACTGTGTAAATGTAGAGGTAATTGCTCCTTACCAAAACAAATTAAACATAAATAATCAAATAACTCAGCAGAAGTAATGAAGTCTCAAATTAATGACAATTGTGTTTTGCACTTTCCCAGGACCATCTAGCTCTAAGAAAAGCTAACACACACTTTAAACTGTAACTTATTGAAGTGTTGAATTATAAAACTGGAATCCAGGACACTACTACCCTTCTTATTTCAGGCAAGTTAACAAATGAATGAGAAAGCAACAGCTTTCTTGGCTGAGTGCCTCCCAAAAAACCCAACTATAATCCAGAACATTTACTGTTAAAATTATGAGCCCATGAAAATCCAAGTTTATAAGAACAAAGTTGTTTACAGAACTGAAATAAAAGCATCCATCATTTTAATGCTGTAACTGCAGATTAAGACAATGCAGATGGGCATAATTTTCCATTCTTAATATGAGACACAACATCATGTGTCTTTAATATAGATACAACATATACATTCAGCTAGAACATTGGTTTATTCTTACATTTCAAATTCCAACTTAAGTCACTATCAAAAAAAAGCAAGTGAATACAAATGCAGCAAAGATCATGATGATATAAAAATCAGTCATATTACACAATCTAACATCTTATTTGTAGGATCTACAGAGAATGAAAAGCTTTTTCTATTAATGGTTTGAGTTAATCCTGTGTCCAAACATTTTCCCCAATAAGCATCAGATTTTTTTTTATGTTGGCTATAAAGCTGTCACTCCTCAATAAACAGATATGCTCCTGGTGGGTTTACCTCACTGTCAAAGATCTGTCAATTCATGTATTGTCTCATAAGTGAAACCAGAGAACCTTTACTGCACGGCTCCTAGCAAATCCAACTGAGCAGAGGCTGCTCATCACCTGAGCGGATTTCCCCCACTGCAGCTCCTGTGCAATTGGTAGGGATTGGATGCTCCCAAAACAAGTTCACAAAATCCCTTAAGTTAATAGTTCTGCCTACCTTAAAAAGAAAGTTATGTGACCTTTAATGCTCTGCTCGACTGAGCCTTCATTTTGTGAGTCTCAATTAAATTTTATGTTTTGTAGCTCCCATTTTCTTGAAAGACAAGAAAAGAGTTCAAGGGATGGATCCTTCTTTGAAGAATTTAATTCCTCATGAAGAAAATTTATTTCCACCTAAAGAGATACTCAAAGTCTGGGGGAAGGGAATTTTTGTAGGGCTTTTTCCTGGTTTTGTTTTGTTTTGTTTTTTTGATTTGGTTTTGTTTTTGTTTGTTTCTTTTTTTGTTTTGCTTTGCTTTGTTTTGTTAAAAGATTTCTAGTGTTTTGTAAAGAGAAAGGAGTTTACTGATTCTTTGAAATGGACATTGTTCCATTGGACAATTATGTCTAACCACAATAATGGTTAGACAATTATTTCCTCAGTCCTTTTCATTGTAATGAGGACAAAATCAGAGGGATGGTTAAAGAATTCTGGCTGTTATTTGTGATGAAGAAGCTTTCCATGAAATCACCAGATTGCTACAGTGATACTGCACTAACATAATACTGGTTGATTTTCAGTAAGAGCCACTGCAGCAAATGAAACATTTGCATACATGTTCATAAAAAGAAATATTTCCTAGGCTGATTCTGCATACTTAACCTAAACATAATAAGGTCAAAAAATGAAGTGTCTTGCCTAAACAGGGCTTTCACATTCTGGCTTACCTTAGTTGCCACTACTGAAAAACTTAAGTACAAATAAGCATAAGCTGATTCCCCAATCACATATTCCCAAATGTAAACATTTTCAGGGACAGGCCATTAGTAATACTTCATTTCCCACTATGTTTCTTTATTTAGTTATGGGTTTTTTTAGTCAATTTAACATAAAATTACAGGTGCCAAAGGGGAATTCAGAGTGCTGGAGGAAGATGCCTAAACCCTTTTTAGTTTAGTTTAGTTCTTTTCACTTTAGTTTATACTAAACTCTTTATAGATTTAGATATTTATGTATTTTCAGAAATAAACATGGGCCATAAATGAGTTTCTTTACCCTCCTCACAGATTTACACACCTGAGCCCGAACACGTCATACACCGATTTCATTTGCTTAGTATCTAAATGTGAAGCCCTTTCTTGGGGCTCTCTTCTTCATATTTTTGTGGTCACACAAGGAATGGGTTGTCAGGATTAAAGGTTTCCACAAACTAAAAAAATTCATATTCCACCCTCACTTCCTTCACAGCTGTCACAATCACCACGCTCCAGAAAATCAGACAACTTGTACAGACAGGAATGAAAGACTCACAGAGTCAAACAGGTTTTTCAGGATTAACTGATTTATTTTCTTATTTTTATCTGAAATTTAACATTATAGTTCATCTGAGATTTTTTTATCTCAGTTTTTTTCCTAGTGCTTACTACCGATGTCTGTTTAAATGCGAATTTCTGCCTGTCTAACCTCCTGGAGAAAATCAGGTATTCAGGTAAACATGTATGTAGGGACACATATTGAGAAAGTAAGAAAATCACAGCCTGAAAAATATTCCAGGCTGGAGTTTTCAGCTCTGTTCCCAGCCGATAAGCTGGTCCAGCTCAAGGCTAGGAAGAACTTCTCCCAGGGTGATAATTTGGTCAAAATAAAAAGGAATTAATAACAAAGATAGAACACCTGGTGTGGTGTGTGACCAGGCCCTGGGAATGGGGTGTCTTCTCTCTGAACCAATCACCTTTTCTCTTCTCTTGGAATTGCGAGTCATGCTACAAAACCAAGTGTGTTCCTGAATAAACTTGTCTCTTTCCTTCTATCATGAAAGATGGCCATGTTGCTGTGCATCTTATTTCTGCTGCACTTAAAGGGTTAAACCCCTTTCCACGGCTACACAGGTATTGCTTTTTGTTTAGATCAGTATTGACTGCTTTTGAAACAGGCAAGTAAAACTCTGTATTAGCTCTTGCCAAAAAGAAATTTTGTGCAATCTACTGCTAAACTGTGATTTAAATATATAATATTTTCATGTAATCATCTTCTTTTTTCTGCTCACAGATTCACGACTTGATACAAACTTAAAAAATATTCTGGTTTAGTTCCAGTATTGGGGCACAGGAATTCCATAAGAAAAAACCAATGAATAATCAGTTACCTTGAAAGGTGTCTCTTGATTTCGACTCTTTCTCCAGATACGAAAAATACAAGCGAATTGGGATGAGATAAATACTGTTTTCATACTCATTGACTTAAATATTGAAATTAATTTTCTATTTAAAAATAGTACTACGTTATTGTAAATATTAATACTTCAATAGTTTTCTTTCAAGAAGCAATAAAAGTTAACATAAACTCAGCCCAGAAAACCTCAGAAGCCACAGATTAAAATTTGTGTGGAATCTTTTTAGCTTTTAAGCTTTTTAATATCTATTGTAGTGAAAAACCACAACATTAATCTCTCAAAAAAAAAGAATTTACAACTAATAAGGGCAGCTGGGACAACTTCTCTTTCAACACCTTAATGAAACTTCTTTGTATCGCCCTGCTTTCTCATTTCAAACTATCCAGTTCTATATGGATGTACTTAGGCAGTATAGCTTAGCTAAATCTCACTGCAAGAAACAAAACTGGTCTAGTTACTAATTTTCACTGCTCATCTCACCTCTGTTTTTCCAGTGCAGCTTGTGGATGCAAGAAGTCTATGTGTCACTGCACCTATGCTGCCTCCATACCCAGCATCTGCTCCACTATATACAGGAACAGTTCCATTTTGATGAATATTTAGGTTGGAATCATGATCTATAGATTGGACTCGATGATCTTGAGAGGTCTTTTCCAACCAAATTGTTTCTGTGATACATGGATAAAAAAAAAAAAATGGGTTGCTATTGTATTTTAAAAGTTTATGGAAAGCCTGCCAGCTACTCAAAGCTGGGATTTACTAATTAGTTACCTTGATTAAAGGCTAGCTTCCAAAGAGCTCCTGTGGATAACAGGCTTAACTTTACACATATGATTGATCCCATTACATTCACTGGATTTAACTGGACTGCTCATAAAATTAAGCCTATATTTAAATGCCTTTCTGGATCAGAACCCAGCTCCCTTAGAGGAGCTCAGGCTTAGAGCAGTGGTACCTTATGATGCCAGTACACTGATGAACATAACTCTTTTTTCCATATTCTGTCAAACTGAAGAGCTGTGGAAATTTGCTTACACAGGTCCTGGAGACATTGTCTGCCACAGGTAACTGAGAAAGCCATTTCATCAGAGCTTGTAAACATCAGAGCTTGATACACTCAGCCTGAGCTAGTTCAGAATACCAGGACAAGACACAAGAGTGAGGATACAGCAATACACTGATGCAGCCACCCTGAAGCCACTGGTGCTGAAGCAGGGTTTCTGCCAGTGTCTCTATACAGCTGTGCATTCTTTGACATATTATAATAACCAAAATTGGCATTGTGAGTCTAATTTAGACTAATCAAGACTTTTCAAATTGTGCTCGCTGTGTAAGACTACATTTGCCAAATTCTTGCAATTGCAAAAAAAGAGTGGAATATAAAGAGGATCTAATGTCTGGAAAATGGGTGATTAAGAAAGGTCGCATAAAATTGACAATTTTAAAAACATATACTCTTACCCTTCTCGTTGGAAAATAGTCCTAAAACAGTCCCCCAGGCTCTTGTAACTGGTTGGATCAGTTTTCCCTCTTTGAATTTGGAACCTAAAAAAAATACAATTTACATCACAGCATGAGAAGTCAGGGATTTTTAAGTCACTTTTAACTTTCCAATTATTATATAAAAGGACTTTTAAAGGGTTTTTTTATGTCTCTGATTCATTATTATATACTGTTCCTGATATACTTATTAACACTGTTTTCATAGAAGCTGTTAAACCAAGGAAAAATAGAGCTTTAGTAGTAACTTTTTTTGTAGTTTATGGAACTCACAGTATAGCTATCACCTTTGACATTTACACCTCTTTCTACTTGTTTGAAAAATAAGCTGTTAACCCTGTGCCTGATCCAAAGTCCACTGAAACTAATGTGAGTGTTTGAGTCAAACCTTGCTTTTGAAAATCTGAAATGGAATACAATCGTGTGTTGCGCATTTTTAATATCTGACACAATTACAACAAAAATCAAGCAGAGACATGATCAGATATTAGAGCACCATTCATTTTTCATAATTCAATAATAAGACGAACAATAAAAGCAAGCAATAAATTATTCTGATTGAAACCTTATTTTCTCTATTCACATTTTGACAACAATAAAAATTTTAACATGAAGCTTGTGGCTTTGAAAGGAAAATCAAGATTATGATTTAAGATTGTAAACTTCTTATTGTTATGATTTATGGATAGCAACAGTGAGTTTAACACACTATATTATTTTACTAAATATCTCAGTTAGAGGATCCTATTTCTTTCAGTTTCAAAACTGCAGCTGGCAAATTCAAGTAAACAGAATGGAGATATTGAGATCAATTTTTAGCAACATAACTTCTTTTTCAACTGCTAATTACCAAATAGCACTAAAAAATAAAAAGAATATTGCTGTTGGCAATTCCAGTCTAAGACAGCCCCACATCAGGCAATCACTATACTGGTTCTATTACTAGGTACAATAATAACTCAACACAATGGTTTCAAGGAATAATTCACGTTACAGTCAAGTACACCACAAGCCACAAGAATACTGCTGTTCTGAGAAACCTCAATTTTTACTTATTCTGATCACAATACTGAATCTCATTTATATGAGATAATGAACCAAGGTATTTTTTAACTCAAGGTTAAACAGCAATTTCCTCCTCTCATAGAATTCAGTAGGGTCAAGTCAACATTTGTATTGTGCTTAAAGTTATTCATTGTTTTGAACATCAGTATTTCTGTGCTAACACTTCTAAAATTTTGTTCAATTTGAGGAAAAAAATTCTAGTGATGCAATTCTTTGGGCAATTATGAAGGCAAGCCCACACCTTTTTTGAAAACGGTTAGAAGGAAACACTGAGTCCCTCCATAGTCCTAATAAAAGTAGTTCAGGCACATCTGGGATCTCTATCTGGGGTAACCTCTTTTATTAGCACAAGAACTTGCTGCCAAGTTGGCAGAGAGAAGAATGCTATTCAATAGGCTTACACTCAAATAAGAGCTGGTGCATAAAATTTTGTCTGAAAAGATCCCTTGGGAAGGCTAATAGTTGAAAAAAAAATGCCTCAATGCCATCACACAAAGTCCAACAGCAATATCAGCTACAGAAGCTTTTACACTGTGGCAATCAAGCAAACCAAATTATAAATGAACCTAGTTTCTATGCACATTTTAATATATTTAAGACTTGATTGTTCATACATTTCAGCTCAAAATCAAGAATGTCTTTCTTAAAGAAAACTTGCAAAAACTTACCAGTGACATCTTTTTCCAAGTATTTAAAAAGAAAGTTTTCTTAAACTTAAACTCTTTTCCTTGAGTTTCAAGATTTGTCCTCCTTGTAAACTCAAAAAAAGCATCACTTCATCTAAAGCATCCTTTGAATAATGCACTTTGCTCTTTTTCACCCTGCAAATGCTCAGCAATGTTATACTTGCACATGTGTAAGGCTCCCCACTAATTCGTGCATGCAAAACTGTTTGTTGAACTGGGGCTTTAAATCCAGAGTCACAGTGGATCTCAACAACATAGTGAACATATTTATATAATTCTGTTTTACAGTTTACATATTGGCAACTTCTCAACTAAATGTAAATGATTTAATAAAAATACGTCTTTGATAGCAATAATGAAAGTAATAGCATAAGAAATGCAATAATCCTGTAGGTAATTTATGTTTTATCAGATGAAAGATAACTTCTTGCTAAAGAAGTTAAGTCAAAGAAGTTTTAAATTTATTTCAGATATTTGTTTCAATACAGATAAGACTTTTGTATTAAATGAGTCCATTTGCAATACTGAGTCACACAAATAACATATTCCTTCCTTTAGGGTTTTTGGATCCATTCCTTCCCTAGTAAATCTATTTTATAGCTTTAACTGCAATTCTAAAATACATGCCAATTATGTGCTTCAACCTAGATCTGCGAATTGGGTTCTTTGATTCAGAATTGCTTGCCTCAATAAAATCATGTGTAACTTTTTAATGAACTAGCTAATTGATCACCAGAACTTGTTATAAGAAGCTCAGGGAAGAGCTGAAAAAAAATGTTAGTTTGTTTTCCTGGAGATAGCAGCGGCAGCCTCTATTAGTAGTCTTCATAACACAGAAGAGTTAAGCATTCCATTAAAAAATCCCCCAACCTTGCCTGGTTTTAATGATTGTTTAGAGGAATGAACACAACTGGGGGATATGTAATGGCTTTCTCTGCTTCAAATCCGTTCCTTTCTAACAGCACTATAAAACCACTGAATTTCATGCATTTTTGAAAGTTGGATGGCTGCCTTGTATCCTTTTAGCTTTTGCTAGACCAGAAAAGATAAATTCCCCTCTAAATACCATCGGAACACTAACTTCTGATCTAATAATTTTGAAGTGTGATGGCAGGCAGCGCTCAGTGACATGCTGAACAGCCATATGTGCAGAAATGCTTTCCCAGGGCTGGGATGGACAACCTCCTACTCACTATCAGTATCCCAGAAGTATCAGAAGTCACTGGACACTCCAACACATTGTGTGTTTACTGCAAGCTTCTTCACTTCAAAAATGAGCACCAGGCTCACTTTCCACCCCTGTCATGCTCCTGCTCCTTGGCTGTCAGGGCAGAATGATGCAGTGCTGAGCACTCCCACCCCTGGAATGCTCACAGAGCTGTGGGAGGCACTTTGCACCCCAGGTTACCTCTTCCTACCCAGGACCAGCCAAGGCATTTAGCCCCTTGGCTCCTTGCAGTCCCCACATCCATTTCCTATGCCATGAGGGACCTCACATTTTCCTTTTCTGGCTGTAGCAGCAGTCCAAAGGGCTTGGTCTTCCATGTCCCCTTTGAATAAATAGTACCTTTCCAGTAGCTTCATTAGATAGCAAATTGCCCCAATAATGTTTAAGAAAACACTGGTGTCCTTCCCTGTTCACTGCAGAAGACACATGGTTGGAATCTCTGTAAAAAGTGGGAACCATGTAAAAACTATTTGAGGTTTTGGGGTCTGTTCAAAAGGCCTTAAAAACTGATGATCTAAAACCATGAAAATATTTTAACTTACCCACACTAATCAGTACTAAAACTTCTACTTGTGAAATGAATAAACCTAAATTATTGTTACTTTACTAGCATGAGAGAGAACTTTTTTTAATGGTTATAACAGTCCTTGATCAATAAGTCTCAATGGGCTCTGCCTGAAATTCCATAATGTGGAAGACACTTGAGTCCTTTCACCAGTTCTCTGAACCACTTATCATTAACAAGTGATCCATCATGTTGTGGAGCAACGACTCTACACAAACACATGCATCTGTTTCCAAGGCCTAACTCCTCACAGTCCTTGTTGGTTTTTTAAATAGCCAGAATTTAATTCTGAGTTCAATAAAATCCTCAGTCCAGATCATGCTTTTCTGACCCTACTCCTATTGCAAAAATCTTCTAAGTAATATTTTCTCATAGAATCTATCTATAGAAGAACAAATAGATGCATGTGCTTTCTGAAAAAAAGAAAAAAAACACAAAAAACCAAAACTCTCACATCCCTCCATAATACACTAATTTTTTTGTTCATGTTTGCTGAATATCTCATCATTGTCTTATGGATGTCTGCTACTACATTATCCAGGTATTTAGCATTTAAAGCTTGTTTGTCACAACGTTACCTAAAAATCCTCCTCATTTTATTTACTGATCTGGGCTGGAGAAAGCTTTCTAATTAATATTGACATTGTTTTAGTCACCTTAAAATCTAAAAGGAAGAAACCAGTATTTTCATATCTAGACTGAAGCACATAATCATAATTTAAGTCCCAGTTTTGTAGGACAACCACAATGTGATATGGAGCATCAGACTCATCAGATTCTTGCCACTGGGTTTGCAAAGACTATACCCTCAGGCACAAATTGCAGAATTTCTTCCTGTTTTTATTCAGCACTGCTGACTAGTTTCTCAACCACAGAGTTCAGAGGGAAAGAAAAACACTGACTCAGAGAACCAAGCTTTATACCAGGCTGCAGTGCTTGCCAAGGAGTGGCAGCCTTAGCTGTATTTTTCCTTCTCTGAGCATCTCAGCAGGATTCTATCATATGCTCTACTCAGTTTTGAATACAGCTCCTAACATTTCCATTCATGGTTGGGGTTTGTGCAGTACCAAAAGCAAATAAACTTAGGAGCTGACGTACATAGATGCTAGAAAGAAGATAATTACATGGCATAACAACAAAACAAATTAAAATATTTGTGCAACTTTAAATCTAAAACAACTTTTGAATAAATGTATGATCTTTGGAAAACTGAAAACATGTACAGCTTTTTTGCACTTTCAGTAATTCCCATGATTCCAGATACTCCTAACTGTATTTACTCCACCCTTACATAATGATAAAAAATGTATAGTCTGAAGTTTTATATAAATACACATTATTTAACAGTTCAAACGCTTATTAAAAAATAACTGCATTCTATTTTTAAAAGATTATGATTTGTTAAGTTAAACATTTATTCAGGTGTTAGTATGAGCGTTATCTACTGATGCTTACATTTTATGAAAAACTTTGGACTGCAAAATGGACCTCAACATAATTT